ACGGGTTTGGTTTTTGTTTTGGTTATTGACATTTTGGGGCAGATAATTCTGTGTTGTGGGGGCTACCCTGTTCATTGTAGAATATTTAGCAGCATCCCTGTACCCAATAGAGACCCCAGTGTGACAACCAAACATGTCTCCAGACATTGCCAAGTGTCCTCTGGGGGAAACATTGCCCCTGGTTGAGAACCACCGGTCTGATACAGGACATGGCATGTCGTAGGGGCTCAATTAATGTGCATTCTCTCTTTTCCTTTCAACTCTGAAAGGAACATGAACTCTTGTCCTGTTGGAGCAAGAAAGGTCTTTAGGGACCACTGTGCAAATAAGTAGGGAAATGGGGGCTCAGAGAGGAGAAGTTAGTAGCCTAATGTCACACAGAAGGTCATCGGCAGAATGAGTTAGGTAGAATAGAGGCAAAGCAGCCTTAACAAAGAGACCCAAAACAGTGGTTTAAATAAGCAAGTTCATTCCTCTCTCCCGTAACAGTCAGGGATGAATGGTCGGGGGCTAGGGGGAACGGCTCTGCCATCCTCAACACCTTCCACCTCAGTGTCCACGGCAGTTGTTCCAATTTCCATTACTAATTGGAGAGAAGGGGCGGGGTGGGGGTGAGGGGGAAGGTCAGGAGGAAGTGGAGGCAGCTCCCTTCCTTTTAAGGCACATTGGCCAGACCTTAGTCACATGGCCACACTTAGCTCCAAGCATGGCTGGGAAGTGTTGTCTGTAGCTGGGGAACCATGTGCCCAGCTAAATCTCAGGAAAGGGGAGTAGAATAAAAACTGGGGGCAGTTAGCAGTCTTACCTCATAGAGACAAAGCAAAACCCCAAGGTCTCCCCCAGGCCACGGTTCTCTCTACCACATCAGCCATTTCATCAGCTGATCAACAAACACGAGGCTGCTGATCAAAACAGTAGCAGCAGCTGACATTTCTAGTGCGCTCACTGGGTGTCAGGCCCTGGTGAAACCCTTCACCCTCATTGGCTCATTTAACCTTCACACAGCTCAGTGAGAGAGCGTTTACCATTAAGTCCATTTGACAGGCGGGAAAATGGAAGTTCCAAGAGGTTAAGGAAGTTGTCCAGTGTTACATGGTCAGTATAGAGTCACAAAGAGTGGAAATGGACTTGATGGTAACAGGTGTGGTTTTTTTGTTTTGTTTTGTTTTGTTAGTAAGTGGCAAAGGTCCCTGTGAGGCGCAAATGGTTAAGCCCTTGACTACTAATCTAAAGGTTGGCGGTTCAAACCCATCAGCACCGTGTGGAAGGAAGGCCTGCTGATCTGCTTCCATAAAGATTACAGCCAAAAAAACCCTTTGAAGAAGTTTTACTCTCTAACACGTGGGATTTCCCTGAGTTAGAATTGTCTCTTCTGCAATAGTTTTTTTTTACTTTTTGGTAGAATGTGGCAGGGGCTGACTTGAGCTCAGATCTGCCCAACATCATGGCCTCACCTCGCACCAAGCAACCCATATTCATAACCTGAACTGAGGTCCTCAGTGGGACTGTTCAGAAGAGAAGACAGGACCTGTGAAGGCCTCTCCACACCACCCCCAGAGCTCAAAGGACCCCCTGAGGTGACGGACCCTATGAAGCTGCCTTCACCCAAGAGGGGACTCTTCGGGAATTCACAGTTAGGTGTAGCTGCTGTGTGGCCTGGGTTCCCCATGGGAGCAGGAGAAAGTCCTGCCCATAGAGTAGTTGTACAGCGTAAGGAGATGGCTGCTTGGCAGGGTGGGAAAGTCAGATCCTGGAAAGGAGGGCTGCTGCGATCATGAGACGCTGGTGTGCCTTAGTGTGCCACCCATACTGTGCCTCTGCAGAACGAATGTGACTGTGGGGAAGGGGTTTCCTCCTCCCTCCACGGCAAAGCGGGGAACTGAGGCCTGCACTTGGGGGGGAAAGAACAGCATCAAGAGAGTCTCATCTGTCCTGGAGGAAGAGGTGGGGAGAGAGGCAGCCAAAGGGCCTGGGACCTGTGACATCATCTCTCCGAGCAAGGATGGTGAGTTCAGGGGTCCCACTGCTATGGATTCAAATCCTGGCTCTGCCATTTGATGAGTCACTTTGCCTCCATGAGCCTCAGTTTCCTCATCTGTCAAGTGGGGATAACAATGGTGTCTCCTTGGGTATGAGGAATTAATGAGATGGTGTGTGTGCACATAGCGGCCCTCCATGATGGTGGTGGTATCTATGTACTGTGGTGTTGTCTTTGCCACAGTCTGGGCACAGCAGAGGGCATCATCAGGCAGGGCTGGGCACAGGCTCTCAGAGTTTGCAATGGGGTCAGGGTGAGCCCTGGGACTGGAGGCCACGGGTGCTCTCAGCTCTGCCTGGAGAAGAGTGCTTCCACTCCAGGGTAACCCTTAGCCCTCAGAGGGCTTGGAGGGGCAGGTGGGGTGGGGCAACGGGACTGACCCTGCGTTACGGTGCTTGTACCCCTTACCCCAGTCAGACCGGGGGTCTCCTGATCCCCCATGAAGCCTCTCATTTCCTGGAGGGGAATGGAGAAAGCCCTGCATGGGGACAACTCCAGAAGGACTGTCCTGTTCCCACTTCCTCCCTGGTCCAGAGCAGGTGCTCACTGAATACCTGTTGAATGTGTCCATAGATGAGTCAGGGGTTCTGCCACCGCCACAGACTGGCTATGTGATCCCGGACCAGTTTCTTGTCCTCTCTGTGCCTCAGAGTCCCCGTTTGTAAAACGGAAAGGTGGGGCTGGATATTTCCAAGTGTACGTTCCCACCTCCAAGATCTTGATCTCCGCCACTCTGGTTGTAGTGCTCCCATCCCCATCTTGATGGAGGAAATGCAGTAGGCCACATGGCAGGGTGTGGAAATGGGGCTTTTATTGCTGCGGTTGGGTAGTAACAGGCATAGAGGCTGCTCTCTGACTATGAGGAGAAGGGCATCTGGGAAGTGTCCTTCTGGCTGGGCTCAGCCTCTCACTTTGGTTGGATGGTGGCAGCACCTTTCCAGAGGGAACTGCTACAAGGGAACTGGGTCAAGTCACTGGGAGCCAATCTGGAATGAAACCACACGGCATTAGGACATTCATGTCCACGGCTGCCCTTACAGGCACCTACCACTCAGATGACCAGGTACTTGATAGGACCCAAGTTGGCCTGAGCCCACTGCCCAAGCTTTTTTCCACAATACCCTGCATGGTCTAAGGCTTTGGAGAGGGGACTGGTGCTTACGGTTTGGGGTCTTTCTCTGGCACCCAGCATTGACTCATCCTCATTCCCCTTACCCTCCTTAAGAATAATGGCATATGTGAAAAAACTGATCAGAGGCCAAGACTGGAGGCAGTGTTAGGGCTCAGTCTGAGGCCAGAATTAAGGCTCAATATATAATCAGGATCATATATCAGCCTTGGATCATGGGGCTCAGTCTGGGATCAGGGTTGGGACTCAGTCTGTGACCAAGGTCGGGGTTCAGTCAATAACTGGGGTCAAAGATCAGTCTGTGACTAGGATCTGGGCTCATTCTATGTCTAGGATCAGGGATCAGTCATGGGTGCATGATTAAGACTCAGGTTTCAGAGTGTGACGAAGATCAGGGTTCAGTCTAGGACCAAGGCAAGGCTCAGTCTAGGAGCAGGGGCAGGGCTCAGGCTAGGAACAGGGGCAGGGCTCAGGCTAGGAGCAGGGGCAGGGCTCAGGCTAGGAGCAGGGGCAGGGCTCAG